GACAGCACCAGAGCCTGCTGTGGTCATTTTATTCTCTCTGCTGCAGCAGAGGCAGTGCCCCAGGGTCCTCACGCCTGCCTTTTCCTTGTCTACACCAACAGCAGGTGTTTCCGCAGTCTGATGAAGGGTATTTATACCTGAAAGTTTGCTAAGAAGAATTTTTCCGACTATCTGAGTTGGTCTAATAAAAATATATTGGATTTACCCAAAGAACCTCATCTGTCTTTTCCCTGTTTAGTCTTTTAACAGCATCTGGTGATTTCCAGGGTGCTGCAGGTATGGGAGCAGGGCCTGGGTTGCAAACACCAGCTCACAGTGGCAAACAATGAGCCAACTCCTGCCCTAAGGAACTGATATTTCATAGTCATAATAGAAGTATGGATATCATTAGTATGTGGTTTCCCATCTGTACAGACCTGGCAGATGGTACTTGAGAACGACTCAGATAGGGCTGAATTCTAAGTCTCCAGCTACTTTTTGCTTCCACTGATGGCAGAGTAAACACTGAATTAAAACTGGGTAAAAGGTTCAGGACTTAGCAGAAACACTTTTCATTTACTTCAGTTTTTTGGACAAAGGGTGCCAGGTAAGTGTAGCGCATTGGTATTAGACTATACTTTTACTGGCTTTGAGATAATGGATAAAATGTTTCCTCCTCATTTACTATGCAGTAGCATGGTAAAGCTGTTTTAATATATTGATTATACCTATGAACCTACACTCTTCATAAACTCAAGGGTTTGGATGAGAGCAGGCTGTACTGTTCAAAATAATTTAATTATGTTGTTCTTTTTCTTAATTTTTACTGTTCACAGTTAGTCACATATTATTTATTTTCCAGCTGGCTGAGGGTGTTTTTAATAGGAAGTGGGAGGACATAATTAAGTTACCAAATTTTGATTTTCTCAAGGGATGAAATCAGTTTATGGAGTTACACTGAGCTAAGCTGGCAGAATATAGGAATTTTTAGGGGATTCAAACCCTTTCATCAAGACACTAGACCTGGACAGGAGTTTTGCTTTAAAGTGATTTCTTTTTGTTAGTCACACATTTTTCCTATGATGCATGTGCACAGACCCAGAGACTGCAGCTTGATCCTAGTCTGGTTTATTTAAATGGCTGCTTTCTGAACACAATGGTAGAATCAGGCATTCTTTATGCTGAATCCTGGTTCTTGTTTTTTGCCCTCTTGGTGCTACTCTTAGTGACAGAGAATCAAGATGCTTCCTATACTCAGAGAAGAATTATTAGACTTTGTTCCTTGGATAATTATTTTCAGTTCAAATATTTGTTAATACCTTTTTTTTTCTTGTATAAAATGGTTTACAGACCCTCTGGAAAGCCAGGCACTAGCGTCCCCCTTTTCCCATCTCCTGCATGCCTTAGAAAAGCCTCTTCTGTAGACAAACTTGGTAGACTTTAAAATGACAGTTCTTGCATGTAAAGGATAAAATATTGAAGCAACCAAAACAAGGTTGAAAATTAAATGATCTGGTTCTCTTCACCCTATATGAATGATTTCCTTCTTCTTGAAAGTGGTTTTTTTCTGTTCATTTTTACCTCTTCCTTCTCCCATAATAACATGCAGGCATAAAGAATTCAGCCCTTGGCAGTCAAGTTGGCAAAGGTGTCCAAAGCTAGAGTCAAATGTTGGTTTTCTAGAAAATCTGCAGGACTCTGAGACAGACCTTGAAAACAAGGACAGATAGGAAGCAGCAGCACTGTAGCTGGTCCTTGGGCAGTTTGGGGAGAATGCAATTCAGAAGGCTCAAGGGGGAAAAATAGGAGATATGGGCCTCTACACCATGTTAGGAGGGATGCTATATGCATCAGTCTGTTCTGTGCATGGATTCATTTACCATCAGGGTTGCAAAACGTCATGAATGCCAGTTGGATACAGAGATTTGATACAGGTTTGGATACAGAGTTGGTGTAGACAAGTGATTATAAGAGAATTTCCGCTTCCTTTTATTTTATCAAAGGAATTTTCTAGCTGTCAAAGAAAAAGAGAGAATAGCCTGAGAATTTGTACTAAGACCCTTACTGCTCATAAAACCTAAGAAAAGTATAAATAATCCAAAATATATTAGTTTTTAAAATCTTATGATTTTTAAACTATCTTGTGATATGGGGAGAATATGTTAAACATGATATCAATGCATCACTCTATTGTGTGCCTCTGGCTGAAGATATTTTATTCCAGGGGTCAGCAACCCCCAATATGTGTGGTAGAGCATAGCACAAGAAGGTATTTTGCTTGGCACATGCATCTTGGGGTGGAAGGTGGGGGAGCCATGAGAAACCCTATTTTTGTTGTGGTAGTACAGCCCCAGCCCTTTCCCTGCCATTGGCCCCAAGGCTTGTGTGCACCCGCTGCCAGCAATGAGCTAGGCTGGAGCTCTGTGGACCCTGGTGCAGCTGCTTATAACCTCCCTACCATCTGCTGCAAGCAGCCCAGCTTCATGGAGTGAAGCACAGGCCTGCCAGTAGCCTGGGCTGGCTGTGGCAGGCAGTCAGGAGTCTACCAGCAGCCACACCGGGGTACAGGGAGCCCCTCCCCAGCTTATTACTGGCACTGGGTGCACATGCACCTCTGGGCAGATGGTGGGGACCAGGGCAGAAGGGGCTGGGATTGTGTGCTGCCTCAACAAAGATCAGGCCACTTGTGGCTCCTCTGCCATGCACACTTGGCATGCCAATATCTTACAAGTTGAGGTTGCAGGTGGTTTTAGCACTCTGCCCAAAAACGTGGCTGACTCTTGCCCTAACCCAATGTGTTTTTAGGCAGACATTTGGCTTGATTGCCCTGGCTAATATATTGCCCATACAAGCCACTTGCCTTTTTGTCTTGCATTAAGCTCTGTGCTTCTTTAACTAGGATGTGGAGTCTGTTTAGCTATCTATTACCTGCTTTAGAGTGCTTACAGAAGTTGCAGAAAGGCACCTCAATCACACTGCAACTTTTTGCACTTTGCACAAAGCACTTAAAGTTACAGCCTAATTGAAAGTAGCAGACATTTGGTGTTTGACGGTGAGGCCTGAGTGCCTTCATGCACTGGCCAAGGCCAGGAGGCAGTGGGGGCTGTAGCCTGCTATGGAAGCCAGCCAGCCAGCCTGATTACTGCCCAGCTGCCATTCCTCCCCTGCCTGCCAGCTGGCTGCGAAGAGCCAGCCAGGATTCATTCTCTTGTGTGGGGGGACAGTGTGAGTGTAGCTTGGGGATTGTGCCCCTTCCCTGCTGGTGCAGTGGGGCAGTAGGGACCCTCTCCTGTGGGGGTAGGGGGCATCCTACTCCGGGCACCCCCACCCCCCAATCTCTGGCCAGCTGCACCCCTGCCTCACCTGCTGACTGGCTGCACCAGAAGAAGACTCTCTGCCTCCTCCCTGTGGCAGACCATGATCACAACATGTAACCCTCCTAGGGAACTGTATAAAGGTTCCTTAAGGTGCCCTAATTTAGAGCACCTTCATTTACTACCTGATTTAACAAGGATTACTTTTTCACAGAATTGGCTATTTTAAAAGCACTCTGAACGTGTGTTATGAAATGGCTGTAGAGTGCTTTAGGGGCCAGATTGCACAAAAATGTAACTTCTGTCTGTACCATCCATGTCCTTATCAACAGTAGTATCTGAGCACCTGCAGTGCATTAAAAAACGTAACTGACATGTCATGTGTCTCATTTGCTCCCCTGTTCTCTCCCAAGAGAAGATGTATGTTTGAATTTTGCATGAAATAAATACAGCTATGTTGTTATGGAAGGAGGTTTTCATAATAAGGCAGTCAATTCTATATCAGTCACAGGACATAACTATCGTGTCATATATTTGTCCACAGCTTTTACTTTAAAAGCAATGAAAACTAGTATGTGGTCATATTTGCTTAAAGTACATGTGGATGTATTTGCAATGTCTTTAAACAAATTTCCATGTTTAGAAAAATTAGAGAGTATTTCTAAAGCATCATTGGTTACTGTCTTAATTTCAGTAATATGTTCCTGTTCTGTATTACAAGAGGTACTAACCACAGTGTCTGATTAAAATTGGCCAACAATTTTTATGAAAAGATCCTATGTTCACTTGCATAAAAAGTTAATCAGACTTTAACCTTTCTGAATGTATTTTCAGTATCCGGTGTTTGATTTCTTATTGCAAAGTTTGAACAACAGTGGTTCAGCCATATTCAGAACACAATACTGTGATTTTTTTTTCTAATGTAGAAGCTCTAGTTCCCTTAGATTTGGATCAGAAATTTGAAGTTTGGCAGGCATTGCCTGGAGGACAGGGGTAAGGCTTCTGCAATCTCCATAAATATCTTCTCCAATTAAATCCTGAGCTCCTGAAAAACTACAGTTCATAAGCTCAGTAATTGTAGAGCTCAGCAGCTAAATTCTCTAAGTTTGTTTGTGCTTATAATCACTGCAGAGCAGATGTCTAAAAAAGAGAGCACTTTAGGCATCAACTACCTCACTGAATTAAGGGCACAGAAAAAAAAGCAAAGAGAAACATAGGATATATCTTTATAGTAAATTTATCATCCCTGTTGGTGCAGCCTTCAAGCATGCTCTGCTTCTGAAAGTGGACTGTTAGTTAAACAGAAAGCAGTGTGTTTATGGTCATGCTAATTATGCTAGCCAGACTTAACATAAACAGCTGGTGTATACTCTTTCTGGTTATTGTCCTAAATATGCTAGAATCTAATGGAATTTCCCCATGGAATAATTTGGCTGAGCTATATATATTAAGAAAGGGATGAAAGGCTCACTCTGGAAATTTCATAGTACAAATGCCAGTCAATTTGTACTTGTTTAAGTTTGTTTTCCAATTTCTATGTTTACATGTAGGTACAATTTTTTCCTCAAAAATGTTTATGAAATTAAATTAAAGGAAATTGTAAGAATGTCAACCTTAAAATACGATTTTAATGGTACATTGCTTTCATTAGGTCAGATATCTTAACATAATTTCATATATATTATTACTGTACTTTGCAAACTGCAGCGGGCCACTGTGGTGTTCCAGATATCATTGTCAACGGGCAAGTAATTGGAGAAAATTATGGCTACAGAGACACAGTTGTATACCAGTGCAACCCTGGTTTTCGGTTGATTGGTTCTTCTGTACGTATATGTCAACAGGATCATAACTGGTCTGGTCAGCTTCCATCTTGTGTGCGTAAGTAACCATGGCAAAACATACACGTTCTATACAAGGTATGCAGTGTATTGAAAGGGTGAAGAGTAATATTTTCAAAATTACCTAAATGACTTGAGTTTGTTTCCCATTTTCAAAAGTGATGTAGGACTTTGGGCATCTAAAATGCATCCTGGAAAAATAACATTTATTCAAAGTCAGTATAACCTGTGCTTCTAAGGCTAGGAGCAGATGTTTTATTCATCCCAGAATAGGCTATGCCCATGTTTATCCTGTAACAAAAATATCTCATGATTGACATATATACACATTGTCCTAGGGACAGATATTGCACATAAACTGGTATAAGTGATTGGAAACCAGTTCAAATCTGTGACCCAACAGAAGTTCAGTGTTCATAAAACACTTTCAAAATGGCCAAAACATGTTTAAGATCAACCTGGATGGATGTAGTATCAGACTTAACTGTTTTAGATTAAGTCCGTTTCTTGAACTTCTGTCCCAGATTGCCTCCAGATTCAAGTTAACTCACGTTCTCCCAGCATCCCAGGGTGCTTTGTACCTCCACAGCAACCCGCAACCCCCACCCCACTTGCAAGATGGGTAGACTAACCTTGGTCCAAGCTGTCTACTCCAGCTGAGCAAGAAGGCATGCTCTAGAATGCACCCCCTTCCCCCCACACCCCCCCAGCATCTGGCTTGGGGCACTGCAGGCATGTGGCTACATTTCTGGAATCAAAAATGAATGTCTGTTCACTTGCTTATTGATTCAATCTATGCAATTTAGGCTAACCTCTGAAGATTGAATCAATTGAGCCTTGGGCTTTTTGACTATCTATACTTAGCCTAAGTACAACTTTTGGAAATGGTGTGTGGGTGCTTTTGAAAACCTCTAACTTGAATTTAATATTGACCATGATAAAGAGTTCAGTTTCACTTCTATATTGTCATCTTTGAAGATTGAAGTGTTTGCATCAATAAACAGTTTAATTTTAATTATATTCTTTTCTTTTCTGGATGATAACTGTGGTGTACAAACAAAGATCTTATCATATGTTAGTTGTACTGACCTATTGTTTAAGGTAACCTATAAAGTTGACTCGCACTGAAAAGACAAGGTGGCAAAATGTTGATACTCCAGTCCTTTTTAATAATGGTGTCTTCTGAGACTGGGAGTCTTTTTCACAATTGCATGTAAAAAAAAAAAAAGGCAGCTAATTTCAGTTCTGTAATTAAAGATAATTAGATGTCTGTATTTTGAAATTAATAGATGTATTACTGCATATAGCTAGAGTTTTATAAGAGACATTTATAGCTGTAAACTATCCCAGAATATTACAGTGCAATCAATTATTTTCTTAATCCACTACCTGAGTTGCTCGTTTGTCATTCATTTTACATCTGGTGGAAGATTCTGAAAGTAATACTTTTTTACTCTCATTCTCATATTTTTGTTCTGCCTGTTCCTATTTTTAATCATTCATCAGTGGATTACTGCCACTACTTTTCTTGTTAAATTTAAGATTGGAAGTAAGTATTGGACATTAGGGAACAAGTTTCTTTATCGATAATCTTTAAAACAAGAATGAGATATAGTTAAACAAGAATTTCTAAATCATTAGGTTAACATCAACAATAGAAATGAAAAATAATTGCTTCTGGGTCATTGCTAATAGCAGAGAAGGTGAACATAGTTTATTTCTCTGGAACCAATTATGGAATCTGCTTGGTTGAACACAAGGGAATTGTGCAATACAGTACTCCAGAAAAGGGTAAGGAGCTTGGGGAAAGGATTACAGTGATGAAAGATACGTTAAACACAGCAGATGTCCATAACATGACAACATTTTTTCTAAATGCCATTAGTATAGGTCCAAGGTTTAAAGCAGATGCAGATAATGACCTCTCTTTGATTTAAGTGCTCCAGTTATGTTTTTCATGACACTTATAATTTTAGTAATTTATATAATCTTTATGAATGATTAACAATTTCAGATTATGACCATTTTAGTTTAGAAATCCATGAAATTGATAAATGCTCAAGTACCATAGACAGATGTTTCTTATTAACATTTTATAAGGTTAAATGTCCATTGCCTTTCTTTATTTTACTTTTCAAACCTGCCTGCTAACTTCATGCTACTTTTTTGTTAAGCGGCATTTTTATTTACCATAATGTTGAATATACAAAATAATCTTCATATTCAGGTCAACATATATATCCACTATCAGTATATTAACAGTGCTAATTTGTTCATTTCTTATGTCAGCTGATGTTATATAACCAGTCCTTAAATAGCATCCAAAATATAGGTAATATACTCACTGACTTAAATAAACCATATAGGATTCAGGTCAACCTTCGTTCATGTCATTTGCTATAATTTAAAGGTTTCTACAAGAAGTACATTTTGAAGGCCACATTATTATTTATCTACAGGCCAATTGCCCATCAGGAATGATGCAGGGGCGGGCGGGGACAGAGTGCCACCACCCCA